GGGTTTTACTGCTGCTTTCTCCTTAGCCGCCATTAGCAAGTAGTTTTTTGCCACTTGAGCAATAAACCCTACGATAAACACAACATAATGGGGCACAATGTTCTGGGCTAGCATGGGGCCGAAGCCCATATACATGAATCCGTCACACAGAGAGATCTCTTCTTCGATATGCAGCTTGGACTCTAGAGCCAACAAATAACCCAATAAGCATACGGACGCTTTCATCAGACTGAGATCTTTATGTATATCAATGGCGACGCCGATCCAATTGAATAGGAAGTAGCACCCGATCGAAAGCAGAGACTTGAGCCCAGAATGGATAATAACATTCATGCCATCCAATTTCATCAGAGGAGGCAACTCGATGAACAATAACGCCAATGTTACCCCGAAGAAGACGAGAGTGAATCCCAATTAGCATGCAATTCCGAATTGAATACGAAATGGACCAGAAAACCCCAAAAAAATACCCCAAGAGTAGTTCCATTAATCGACGTACGCAGTTTTGACACCAGTCCGGCTCCGGCTTGTGTTTGTGTTCGGCGAGGACTTGTTACCGGAAGCTCTCCACCGGAATTATCAGATTCTTCGGCCGTTGCTTGAAGATAATTTTTTGCCCAAAGAAACGCTAAACCAACACAGAAAACGAGATAGTGCGAAATTTGATCTTGTGCCAACATGAGACCGAAACCTGCGTACAAATATCCATCGCAAATCCCAACTTCTTCTTCGATTTTGTATCGATACTCATTGGAGAGTAGATACCCGAGAAAGAAAAGTGAAGCTTTTCTCAAATCTTGATCAGTGTGGAAATCAACAGAGTTACCAGCCCAGGTGAAGAAGAAGTAGCTACCGAAGGAGAAGGTTCCTCTGAGTCCCGAGTGCCAGAGAATGTTTATTTTTCCTTCCATTTTCACAAGTGAAGGAAACGGCATAAGAAGAACCGCCGCACAGAGTAAGAAAGCAACCGTAATCCCCATTCCTGTATTGCCCATTGCTTTGTACAGAGGAGAATTGACAAAGAAATGTCCGGTTACGAAGAGAGCGATGAATCCAAGGAAACTGGCGAGCTTTTTCTTTCTTTCTTCTTCAATCGCTGGATTTCTTACTTCGCCGGCTATGTTTCCGGCGTTGGAAGCCATGGTTACGGGATCTT